GTAAAATTAAAGAAGTTATCTTATCTATCCTATATTTGTGAGTATAAGGTTTCATATCTAACTTATCTTTTATCATAACTAAGGAAATTATAACTATCTAGTCTTCGACTACATCAAAGACCTCAGAAGGATATAATATTACCTGAGAAATGGGAGAAGGATGCAAACAACTTTTAGGAGTCTTAAGAAAGTAGACAGAGACAGCTGGCAGCCTGGACAGTCATCCAAAGTTTCTCTGTATAGTTGGGGCATCTGTCTTCAGCCCACAGGCCTAGAGTCTCTTAGTCACTTTCTCTCTGTGTCCTGTAGAATGTCTGGAAGTTTCCTCTGTGAAGCAGGGACCTGAAGGACCATTTTGCCAAGCAAAGTTTAGTGGTCACCTTCCTATGGGTCCTGCATGTCCAGTCAACCAAACAGTCCAGGCAAGAACAGTTTCTTGCCCAAATGGCTATTTTTACCAAGAAGAAGATAAATTCCATATAGAGTGTCTTCAATGCCCATCCTCCTCTCTGAAGTAAATCGGTGCTGCTAGGAGCAGACATGTTTCACTGTCCAGGAAGTCTAAATTTTTAAAACATTTTAAATGCTGTATTCTGTAGGTCTTTGAAGTATTTGAAGATTACCTACCTAATTGAATTATATCTATGTATACCTAGAAAACATGACTATAAGTTTGACTATCATAGAAGACTAATTATTAATCTATATTTTAAAATTATCCATTACAATCTAAATGAGTTACATAAACATAATACCTTCAATGAGAGTAGAAATATATATACAGTATAACAAAATTAAGTTTAAACTTGTATCAATAAACTAAAATCCATAGCAATATAAAACATTTTTAAACAAGTTGTTGCTCTTTAAAAGTAGATTCAGTAATCTACCCTTTTATCTTATGATATCTATACTATCCCCTTTTCTTCTTTAGAAAGAGATTGCATTTATAATCAACCTGTTATAAATAAAAATAAACATTCATAAACAATGTTTTTGGAATTTGGGCATAGATTCTCATACTACTTCCTGCTGGATGAGGACACTGTATTCTTATGGGGACACAAAAAGAATTTTAGGATTATGGAGTAGTCTGTGAGGATGTATCATCTGAGTCAGTTGCCTTGAAACCGTTCTGGATGTTGGATCATCTGGGCCATGGTGTCATCGGAGACCTTTCAGACCTTTCTTGGCTGGTCAAACCTGATGTATCTTAATCTGAAACAAATCCATAGCCTCTGGCTTTCTGTGGAAACAAAAGCAGAGTCTCCTTTCCAAAGCAACATATCCTTAGACTAGATAGTTATAATTTCCTTAGTTATGACAAAAGATAAGTTAGATGTGAAACCTTAGACTCACAAATATAGGATAGATAGGATATCTTCTTTAATTTTGTCAAATACAAATAGACTAGATATTATAAATAGACTAGATATTGTAACTGTAATTCTTGCTTGATAATTGTTTCGTTGTATGTAATTTTACTATGTTAAAGTTAAAACCTAAAAAAAAGGGGGGGGGAGTGCTGGGGATGTCTTTCTGTATGCTGTGAATGTATTGCTCTGATTAATTGATAAATAAAATGCTGATTGGCCAGTAGCCAGGCAGAAAGTATACTATAGGTAGGACAGGCAGAGAAAAAAAATTCTGGGAACAGGAAGGCTGAGTCAGGAGTCACCAGCCAGACACAGAGGAAGCATGATGTAAAAGTACTGGTAAGCCACGTGACAACTTATAGATTTATAGAAATGGGTTAATTTAAGATATAAGAACAGATAGCAAGAAGCCTGCCAGGGCCATACAGTTTATAAGTAATATAAGTCTCTGTGTGTTTATTTGGGTCTGAGCAGCTGCGGGCCCAGGAGGGTCTGGAGAAAACTCCAACTACAGGTTGCTTTCTAAAATCTGACAGTGGGGGTGGGGGACATTGCCAAGGACAACATCCACACAGCTAGTTGAATGTAGAGAGGTCGAGCTGGTGCCTGCATGGAGCCTTCACCCCTGTGTTCTAGTCTCTTTGGTGTGAGAAGGTACTCTGCAGGCTACGGAAAGAGAAACCTAGACACCAACCAGCTACAAAACCCTCAACCAGTCTGTCCTGCCTGCAAGATGTGCTGGGGTAATGGTGGCCCAGAACTTGTGGGAGAAGCCAAACCAATATCTGGTTTAGCTTGAAGTCCATGCCACAAGAGGGAGCCCAGAGTCCTAGAGTAGAACCAAAGACAACCGGGAAAAAAAAGACACCCTAGTGATATTCTGCTGTACTCATAGATCAGTGCCTAGTCTAGTCGTCATCAGAGAGACTTGTTCAGGCAGCAGATGTGTGTGGGTGCAGAGACCCACAGCCAGACATGATGCAGAGAGAGAGAGTCTAAATTGGAGGTCTCTGATCAGGGAACCTCAAAGAGGAGGGGGAGAAAAGACTGTAGGAGTCGGAGGGAATAGAAGAGCTGGAGACCATGGCTCACTGAATCAATTAAGGAGGGCTCACATGGGCTCACAGGGACTGAAGCGGCAAGCACTGGGCTGCATGAGGCTACACAAGGTCCTTTGCATTTGCCTGCTCTTGGGACTCTTTTTCCCCTGTGGGGTTACTTTATCCAGCCTTGATAATTAGGGCTTTTGCCTTGTCTTATTGTGTCTTGTTTTGTCCTGTTTGGCTGTCATCTCTTGGTGGCCTGCTCTTTTCTGAAGAGGAAACAGAGGTGAGGGGAGTGGATCTTGGGGGAAGGGAAGAGTTGGGAGGAGTGGAGGGAAGGGAAACTGTAGTCAGGATATATTGTGTGAGAAAAGAACCTATTTCCAATTAGAAAAGAAAAGAAAGTAAAGCTGTGTTTGTTTTTATTGAGAAAGCAGCTTGTCTGTATTCTCATAGGACCATTCTTGTCTGCTGCACTGGGTGCTGCATGTCCCCATTGGAGCACTGGGTGGCAGGAGTCCTCTCTGGCACACTGGTCCACCAAAAGACCATGATTATAGACAGCCAGCGAGCTCGGAGCATCTAAGCTCCCCCTTGCAGCAGCACTGTGTGATACCATGCTGCTACCTGCCTGCCCTCTTCACTGCTCTGTGCACATTCAAGAGCAGAGAAGCTAGTCTAGCTCCAGAATCATCTGAATGGGTGGGAGAGGGAGCCAGCAGGTGATCTGTCCTTTGTAGTCCCAACCACAGGCTGAGAAAACCTGATCAGTGGGGACAGCCAGGGAATAGGCAGGTGTAATGTAAAGTTTTTGTTGAGAACAGGCTTCCTGAGGCTGGGCAATCTCTGGAGTGGGAAGCAGGAGTGCTGAAAGATGGCTGTTGCTATGTGGGCACATACAAAACTGCATAGTATTCCAGAGGGGGCTTGCATAAACTACTATGTAATTTCACAACTATCCCTTCTAGTTCCTTAGTTTTAATTCTGTCCTTCAGTTATGAGTCAAGACAGCGTCTCGAGAGTATCATGTCCAGGTGTGGCCAGACAGTATAGGCTAAGGAATACAATCAAGGTTAGGGAGAAGAGGGTGATTGAGAACAGGACTGTGGTGTCGTGGACTGTGCTCCATGGATGAGGTACGGCACACTGGTTTCTATCTGCTCAATTTTGAGAGAGTACATCAGTTCCTGGGAAGGAACAAGGCACACAGAGGGTGGAAATGGTTTGGTACCAAAGACCCGCAAATGTATGGCTGCAGTGTGGTGGGATGTAGCCACTGGGGTGTCAGCTAGAGGAGGACAATGAGGAGGGGAAGAGAGAGAACAAAGGTCTGCAGGGATGGTGTCTGAGAAGCAGAGCAGGGGACAGCATGCTTCTGGGTGTGTTCCTTGACATGTTGTCATGTCCAATAATACCAGAAGAAGCCCAGGAGATGGCAATCCACATGAAGTGGGTAACTTTATGGGCATTTGATTCTCGTTACTTCAGAGTATTGCCCTCTAGAACTCACAAGTAAGGAAGTGTAAACATGACTGTCAGGCCACACAGTTCCACTCCAGGGTTAGAAAATGCAGCTGCCTGGTCTGGGCAGCGTCTCATATCAGAGTTTCCAGGAAATGTAGACCTAGCCTTCAGGAAGCCCCTCCAGATGTGGTCACCTTATGTTCACATTTACAAACACAGTTTCCAAGACAAAAGAACTAGGAGAGTCGTGTTCCTCTCAACCCAGGAAGTTACACCTGGAAACACTGGGGCAAAGGTGTCCACACTTCCTAACCACGCCAGTTTGCTCCTTGATCACCAGACAACTTCTTCCTGCAGCTGAGAGAAAGATGCTGAGAGGGCTAAGATGCTCAGTCAGTGAAGTGCCGGGTTTGCAATCATGAGGACAGGAGTTTGATCCCCAGAACCCATCTAAAAAATCTGAGCATGGTGGCATACACTTGAAACCTTAGTGTTGAGGGTGTGGAAAGAGGCAGATCCCTGGGGCCTGTTGGCCAGCAATTCTAGCATACTTAGTGAGTTCTAGGTCAGTAAGAGACTCTGTCTCAAAAACCAAGGTAGACAGTTCCAAGGAACAACACCTGAGATTGACCTCCACATGCATACAGAGACTTATGAGCACACTTCATGCAAACACACACACACACACACACACACACACACACACACACACACACACACACACACAGTGGGCATTGGAAATCAGGGCAGCATTCACCAGCCATGGTAGCTTCTTGAATGTGGTGTGGCACATGGCACAGTGTCACTTGAAACAAACTCAATACTTGAAGAAACACGTGGCAAGCTGGGCATAGTGGCACATGCTGGGATTAAAGGCGTGTGCCGCCATGTCTGGCTGAATTTGTATCTTAATAAATCACTATTACCCATTAAATAGACTCATGTGAATTGATATTAACAGCCAGGGCTACATATAGAAACCCTGCTAAGAAAGGAAGGAAGAAAGGAAAGAGAAAAAGAAAAAAGAAGAAAGGAAGGAAGGAAAAGAAGAAAGTAAAGAGTGGCAAAACAAAACTTTGATTTTCACTTATAGTCCCCCAAACAAGAAGAATCTCACCGGATGGGTTTACTTTGTCCTTCTGGGCCGTCCAGCTCATATGAGAAAACACTGTCCCATCTAAAGCCCAGGTCCCAGTCAAAAGCTCCCCTTACAATGGGTGCCGCTATATAATCCAGTGTTGTTTCATCAATGACATCCATCAGAGGGCACACCACGGTTTTGTGGTCCTTAGCAATGGCATGCAGTAAGGGCTCCAGCCAGACTTTATTCACCTCACAGTGGCTATCCAAGAACACCAGGATGTCCCCTGTGAAGGCAAGAGCAGACTAACGTTGGTTCATGTCTTAGGGTTACTGTTGCTGTAATAAAATATCATGACCAAAAACAACTTGGGGAGGAAAGGGTTTATTTGGCTTACACTTCCACATCATAGTCCATCATTGAAGGAAGTCAGGACAGGATTCAAACAGATCAAGAACCTGGACGCAGGGGTATTGCTTATACTGGCTTGTTTCTCATGGCTTGCTTAGCCTGCTCTTATAGAACCCATGACCACCAGCCCAGAGGTTGTGCCATTCTCAATGGACTAAGCTCTCCTACATCAATCACTAATTAAGAAAATGCTCTACAGGCTTGTCTACAGCCCTTATGGAGGCATTTTCTCAATTGAGGCTCCCTTCTCTCTGATGACTCTTGTGTTTGTCAAGTTGACATAAAACTAGCCAGCAAGGTCCCCTAGGGTAAAGATATTCAGTCCAAATGCAAGCTGGTTGCGATGAGTATTCATTGACTATTTACTATATGCTGGTTCCTCAGTTGCATTGAGGGAAATGAGAAATACATGTTTTATTTTGTCCAGAAAGGTGAGACCCCATGTACTGTGAGTGTTCTTAGGAGGCTGGAGAGCTTCAGGTTAGAGGATGGCCTAGAGAAAAGTCTAGCAGAGTAGATAGACTTGAGAAGAGCTTTCCTTTTTAAAGATCCTTTCAGGAGACTGGGGAGATGGCTCAATCATTAACGTGCTTACAAGCATGAGAACCTAAGTTTAATCCCTGTTACCTACATTAAGAAAACAAAACAAAACTAAACCATCTGGGCTTGGTGACCTGTTCTTATAATCCTAGTGTAGTGGGTAGCTATTCCAGCTTTGACCTTGAAGCACTGCCCCTAGGTGACAGCAAGTAACTGCCACACCTGCCTGTGACCTGCCCCTGGGACATGGCCGAGAGGAGACCCCTTAAGGCCCGAGATGCATACATGCTTGCTCTCTTGGCTCCTCATGATCCTGGATACTGGATTGCAGACCAAGTCAGAGATCTCCAGAGAACCACACTGGACTACACCTCATCTCTCCCAGATCCTGTAAGGACCCTTTATTGGTTGTAAGTTATCCCTGAAATAAACGTCTTTTAATTACCATATAAAATGCGTGGAATTGCCTTGTTAATTGCCGCTATATACTAGCACTGGGGAGTTGGAAACAGGTATATCCCTGAGGTAGCCACCTCTTCCAGTCTACTTGATGAGTTCCAGGTCAGTGAGAGAACCTGCCTCAAACAAACAAAACCACAGTGATGACACCTGAGAAATGATGCCTAAATTTGACCTCTGCTTCTTTGTTTCAAGACACAAGAACCTGGACATCTCAGAGGGTGCCATCTGGAGTCTAGTCCACACCTGTGACAGGAGGGCAGGAGTTTGCTGTCTTTAGACAGTCATTCCCATTATTTTACATTTTGCTTTTCATGGCTTCAGGTCCCTGGGACCAACTGAAGTCTGCCATGCCTGTCTTGCAGAGTCAGGCTGTGAACCTTGATACTGCGAGCCACGTGACCCTTTCCTCCTTAGTGACAGCACAAGGAAAGCGGTTAACTCGCCGGCTCCTGGCCTAGAACAACGTTCATACCTGAAGCGCGGGAGGCGCCAATCATCCTTGATCTAATGAGACCCTCTCTCCTTTTGTTTCTTATTAATTTAATCTTCCCACGAAAAAGTTCCAGCTGATAGTCCAGTATTTCTTTCAAATCATCTGAAAAAATATTTGACATTTGACAATTTATAAACTGCAGCTATAGTAATTCAAACATTGTCATTATGACCAATTTCTAAAAGCCCACTACTGCATAGATTTCAATGTGGCCCTGGTTAGCCTCATATCCACAAGAAAAGTGGTTTATAATCAAACTGTATAATTTTTGTGCTTTTAGTGACATGTCTCTGCTTTACTCCATCCTTATTACAATTTAGTAGAAAAAGTGTAGGTTTTAAGGCTTTTGGTATAACCTGATTTTACTACTAACTACACAAGTTGTGCTGTGATTAATTTTGCTTCTAATTTTGTAGTGGCTTGAAGGTGAATTATCAAACCAAGCAAGTTCAAGAGCCACCTGCACCTGTTCCCTCAAGCTGAGGAAGCCCATTGGCATTGTCTGTGGCCATGTTCAGGAAAGACAGGTTTCTGTTCAAAATTTGTTATACAATTCATGATGAAGTCATTCTGAATTAGTGTAAGGAATATATTGATCCTGAGTTCCATTGGAACACAACACCCCTCGTCCTGTGTTTGCAGCTCTACATGAGTCAAGGCTGATGTCAAGGATTGGAAGAGATGACTGGTGTGGCAGCACACTTGGGGTCCTGGCCACCGGTAGTGACCCTCTTGGTCTCTTTTGAAGGGAACTAAAATACAAGATGTATATATAAGCAGGTCACTAGAGATCATGGACTGAATGTTTGTGTTCACCAGCTCCAAATGCATATGTCAAAACCACCAATGTGATAGCATCTAGGAGTAGGGATTTGGGAAGTATTAGATCATGAGGATGGAATCCCCATGAATAGGACTTATATGAAGAGGTCCAAGAGCTCACTTGATCCAAAGAGGATGGAGCAAAAGGGCATCAATCTAAAAAACAGAAAGAATGCTGTTACCAACAACCTGGGCTTGTTGGCACCCTGGTCACCCTTGTTGGCACCAGTGTTTGTTGTTCAAGACACCTTGTCAAACTGACAAGAGACCACCATGTCTCTAGACTCTTGGTGCTATGCTGAAAGGCTGGCAGACATGATCACTCCTGGAACTGCGTGCCGACTGTGGGATTTGTGAACTTCTGAGTAAGAAAGCAGAATTCTTCTGGCCAGTAGGCACATCTGTACCCTGCACCCAGCTTTACTGAGATTTCCTGCCCAGCAAGCTATAGACATCTCAGCTCTACTGAGCAGATAAGGTAGTATGAGGGAAGGAAGAAGCACCCATCCCATGTACAAGACTCAGTTGGTGATGATTGCTATGGAAATGTTATGTGATAGGCATCTGGCCAATATCATATAACTTCCAAACAAAGTAACATTAGCTTGGGTCACACCCAGAGCAACCTAGTGTCACTTCCACAGGGTGGCCTTCCTGGAATATCTTTTCTTCTCAGCATACCTTTTTTTCTTTCAAGTTCATCATAGACTAGCTTCTCAGTGGGTTGGGTGACTTTGCAGGCCTGAAATCTATCCAGTATTGACATCATTATCCGGGCACTCCTGGCTTGCCTAAGGTTGACACTCAGTTGTAAACAATCAATTTCAAAGTCTAAGCATGGGTAACTAGACTTTGTTCTAGTATCCTTATTCTATCCTAAAAAGTAAGCATAGAGGAATTGTTACTTACTTGCAGTTGGTTGAGTTCTTTCTTGTGAAGTACCTAGCTTAGATCATCTCCCTATTAATCTCTCCATATTCATCCATTCATTTATTACTTATTTTTGAACAGGGTAGCAGTTCAGAATGTTCTCCTGTAGCTCAGATTGGCTTTGAACTTACTTTGTAGCCAAGGATAACCTTGATCTCCTAATCCTCTACTTCCACTTCCTTGGTGCTGGGATTGGAGGTGCACACCACCACACCCAGTTTATGCAGTGTTGTGAATTGAATCCAAGGCTTTATGCATGTTAGACAAAATACTCTACCAGCTGAGCCACATAGACATAGCTCCCCATGTTCTTGAGATAAAATTCCAAAAGTGCCTTTCATGAGTAGTCCCTTTTAAATAACTACAGCTTTATGGCTTTTCCTGAATCCTTCCAACTCTGCACTCATACATAAACTTCATAAAATGCAGAAGTGCTCCATGCTCACCCTGTTTTGTCTCATTTTTGGCTTTTAAAGTGCCATTTCTTTTATCGAAAACATTTTCTTACTGGCCATTTGAGCAACCCTAGCTTATCTGTCCTCTTCCATTCAGATGGCACTTCTTTCTGAAGTGATCCCTAAAGACAAGGCAAGCCTCTGTGCTGACGTCATGGACCCATCATGACAGGATCTGGGTCCATCTATCCTCTTCCATTTAGATGGCACTTCTTTCTGAAGTGATCCCTAAAGTCAAGGCAACCCCTTGTGCTGACTTCATGGACCCATCATGAAAGGGTCTGGGTCAATCTTTTCCACCATAAGCAATGAGTGCATCATTTATGGCATTTCCCTCAACAGCTACCAGAAACATTCTCTGTGTAAAACATACAAGTGCCAAGCCATGTGTGATGAAGCATGCTCATGAATTCAACACATTGAAGGTAGAGGCAAGAGGGTCAGGAGTTCAAGATGGGGCTAGCCTGGACTACATGAGACCGTTTCCTCAAAACAAAAACAAATCTCAAGTATCACTGGAGAAAAATGCCACCTTCCAAATAGACAGTCAATGTTTGTCTCACCAATTTCACTCATGTCATCAACCAAAATTATTTCTTCAAGGAAGTGGTGTGGTGTGAGGTTCATCACACTAGACACTGTTCTGAGCAAGGTGTGAAATTCTTCATTATGAAAGCATATGATGATGCTGGCAGTGGGTAGATTGAATGGGTAGTGTTTCTGATGACATCTGCAAGAAAATAGGGAGAGAATTAGTCATCAAAAAAACCTCAAGTGTTCTGAGGCCTTCTTCAAATGCCAATCCTTACTTTTGCTTTCTTTAGTTAAGTGAACATTAGGACAATACAATGACAGTACATTAAAAAATACAAAAATTATGGTTGGGGATTTAGCTGAGTGGTAGAGCGCTTGCCTAGCAAGGCCCTGGGTTCCGTCCTCAGCTGTGGGGAAAAAAAAATAACAAGCAAAATGTCCTTAAATTTTTAAAAATTATTTTCATGTATGTGTATATGTCTGCAGCTATGTGAGCATACACATGTGCATGCAGTGCCTGTGGGGGCAAGAGGAGGGCATCAGATCCCCCAGAGCTGGAGTTCGAGGCAGTTGTGAGCTGCCTGACCTGAGTGCTGGGAGTCAAACTCTGGTCCTCTGGAAGAGTCGTAAGCCATCTCTCCAGTCTGTCCTTGAATTCTTTATTTTTTTAACCTGTATTTATTTTGTTTTGTGCATGCCATAGTGGGCATGTGAGGTGGTAGTACAACTTACAGGAGCCAGCTCTCTCCTTCCGCCATGTGGGCTTCAGTCTCATGTGGGGAGCAAGCTCAGGTGTGCAGATGCCACCTTGCTGGCCCCATTTAAATTCTTACGCTCTTCTCACACTTTGGAATTATTTTCCCCTTTATAATTTCTATTTCTTGACATTCCATCTTAGGTCTACTTTGAAGATAATATAAAACACAGATTATATCCATATATTGGTGTCTATTCTAAAAATAGTGGTCTAAATTCATGGAAAGGTAACTTCAAAGTAAATTTACTGTGCTGTATTCTTTGCTTTGGTTTCTGAGTTTTATTATTATATTTGTGACACCTGCTGTGGCCAAGAATTTTAGTGGAATTGGTAGACTACATGTCCTTCAAGTACTGGCAAAAGGTCATGCTACTTTTGTGTTAAACAAGTGAAAAACAGAAGTTAAGATCTAGTATATCATTGTTTGGAGTTAGCCTCAGCAAAAATAGAAGGGAGTGTATTGTAAGGTGACCCAAATACCTCTCATGACCTAGTTACAGGAAGACAGTTGGAATCTCAAGGAAAAAATGGGATCAGAAGGCTGAGGGCCATCTGGACTGCTCTCCATCACTCTGACAATAGCATTGGGGTGATAATTAACAGTATCTCCAGCCTACCTCAAAGGTTAAGCTTTAGTGAGTTCATAGGTAGTGATCTCAGTTCAGAACAGTGTCTGGCATATATTAATTATCCTATACAAGGCTCAACTTGCAACCTGTAACCTGTAAGCTTGTTTCTACTTCCTTAAAGCCACAGAGTGGGAAATGTGGGTATCAGCCTATCTTTGGGATTTTGTTTTGTTTTTTAGACATATCTAACCATATATAGCCGTGGCTGGCTTGGAACTTGCCATGTTGATTAGGTTGGCCTTGAACTTGCAGAGATCTGCCTGCCACTGCTTCTTTGGTGCTAAGATTAAAGGTGTGTAAAACCACACCCGCGTCCAAGGATAAATCAGAAGGACTTTCTTTTTCCCCATCAACAAAAATTCATTGGCTCATATTGGCTCAGTGGCCACTCTGGAGGTAATTAATTAGGGCCAGACAAGTGAAGTCAAAAGAATAAAGTCATCATTCCCACTGAATTATGTGAAAGGGGAAATATTTCCTGGACAATTCCAGGGCAGGAGGGACTCGGGGGATGAGTCAACAGGAATTTTCGGTGTGTGTACCTGCAGGATAAACATGTATTGAAGGCATCTTGAAAGGAGAGTGTTTATCCTGACTAACATCATTAGCCCAGTGGGTGGTACTACAGAAAGTTAGCTGCTGAATGGAAGCTGGCACCATGCTCAAAGGAACAGAAACCATGTGAGGTGGCAACCTGGCAAAATCTGGAGTGGTAGGTAAGCACACCATCTGCACCCAAATGGATATGACCCAAGAGCAGAGCGATAGAAGCCAGAATAAACACGGCAATTACATCACACTGAAAACCTGCATGACAAAAGGAATCACCAACAGGATGAATAGATAACCTTCAGAATAAGCAAAAATACTTGCAAACATACATTTGACTAGGGATTGAGAGCCAGATTGTTTATCACTAGGGTCAAAAATTAGCAGAGTGCTATAACTCAGTTAGTAGAGTACTCATCTAGTCCTGGTTAGATCTCAGGACCACATAAAACTGGGCATAGTGGTACACACTTGAAAAATAGAGGCAGGAGAATCAGAGAAGTTAGAAAACTTTCTTGGCTACATAGTGAGTTCAGAGCAAGCCAGGAATACATAAGACACTGTCTTTAAAAAAAAAAAAAAAAAAAAAAAAAAAAAAAAAAAAAAAAAACAACAACAACAACAAAAAAAACAGGCTGGAGAGATGGCTCAGTGGTTAAGAGCACCACCTGCTCTTCCAGAGGTCCTGAGTTCAATTCCCAGCAATCACATGGTGGCTCACAACCACTTGTAGTGAGATTTGGTGCCCTCTTCTGGCCTGCAGGGACACATGCAGACAGAATACTGTATACATAATAAATTAATAAATCTAAAAAAAAGAATTTGTACTGTATCAAGCTGATAATAGAAAAAATAAATAAATTAATTAATTAAATGAAAAAAGACAATAGTTTTAAAAAAAGAAAACAAGTAGTCAATGGGTATATTGAAAAATATACAATACAATAAAATATTCAATGCCACTATTCATTAGGGAAATGCAAATTAAAACTATGATGAGATTGATGAGATTCCAACTCACATCTATTAAAATTGTCACTATCAAAATAATGAGAATGTGGAGGAAGATTAGCACAGCCATTGTGGAGGACAATATAACCCAACAACTCTGCTCTTTGATATACACTCAGGTGTAATCCAGTCTGTATAAGAGATGTCTGCCCCTCACACTATTGAAGCATTATTCCCAGTAGTCAAGATATGATATCAACCAAAATGCCCATCAGCAGGTGAATGAGTAAACTGTGTACACACAATGGAATGCTATTTAGCCTCAAAAATTCAGCGGCAGGTAAGATGGTTCATTGGTAAAGGGACATGATGATCTGAGTTGATCCCTGGGCTTCACATAGGAAGAGAAGAGAACCTTTGACCTCCACACCAGCCTGTGGTAGTACATATGTATACCTGCATACACATACAACTAACTAAATAAATACAAATTTTAAAGATAGGAAATTCAGTTTTTCACACAATAAAGATAGACCTAGAGAAGCTGGAGTGAAAATGACACAGGGGGGCAAGTCAGTCTTCCCCAGAAACAAGCACGCCAAATGGTTATCCAACCCCAGTGCTCAGTCACGCATGTGTGAATATATGTGTGTATATGGACGTATGCATATATATATGTGTGTGTGCACACACGCTAAAACACTAAACAGATTCATCAGATTGCTGCTGGAGATGATGCTTGGCTATTATTGGACAAATGACATCTTTGCCTTAGTTGAAACTGCTAGTTCAACTTGCTGACTTGGGTGTGTAGAAGAGCAAGGGGGTTGATGAAGGGTGGGGCGGGGGTGAAGAAGGAAGGGGGGAAATGCTTGGAGGCCACACAGAAGAGCCAAGGTAGGAGCCCCATTACACAGCACAGTGGTACAGTGACCCTGACACTGCCGAGAAAGTGGATCTTAAATGTTTTCAGTATGTGAAAAGGAGAAGCATACGGTATTATACTTGTTCTGATTTGCCTGATTTAGCATTCCATAGTACACAAAACATGCTCTGTACCACAGATATACAAATTTTACTTTTTAATTAAAAATTCAGATGAAAGAAATTAAGGCAAAGCTGGACAGATGGCTCACTGGTTGAGAGCACTGGCTGGACTTCCAGAGGACTGGGTCTGAATGCCAGCATTCAGTCACAGCTGTCTATAACCTCAGTTCCAGGGAATCTGATGTTGTCTTCCAGCCCCAGGGAGCACCAGGCACAAAAATGGTATATATACATACATGCAGGCAAAAACACCCATACACATGAAATAAAGTAAACATAAATACATCTTTAAAAACACACACACACACACAAAAAAAAACCCACAAAAAAACAAGGCAAGCCGAGCTAGAAGTTCCAACTAATGATTTCTCTGATAATGGCCAAGCCTGCTCGATCTGTTTAGTGTCGGGTTTTGGTTTTTTTGTTTGTTTGTTTTGTTTGTTTTTTTCTGAGACAGGGTTTCTCTGGGTAGTCCTGGCTATCCTGAATCTCTCTCTGTAGACCAGGCTGGCCTTGAACTCACAGAGATCCGCCGGGCTCTGCCTCCCGAGTGCTGGGATTAAAGGCGTGTGCCAGCCACTCAGCTGGGCTGTATTACTGTCTCTGTGTGTGTGTGTGTGTGTGTGTGTGTGTGTGTGTGTGTGTGTGTGTGTGTATACAAAACTGACCACTGGGGTTGGATAACCATTTGGGGTGCATATCTCTTGGGAAGAGTAATTCTCCCACTTGCGGTAGTTGTTAGCTGCCTGTAGCTCTTTTCTAGGGATAAGGCCAAATTTGATTTCTCCTATCCATATTGATATGCCCCTGGCCTTTGTCATTGTTCAGATCTTGTTTTAAGCAGCCATATTTCAACTTTGTTTTTCCTAACTATTTGATGGAAGAAAGAAAAATAGTATTTCCTAATTATATGATGGAAGAAAGAAACCAAGGCAGTCACACTATTTTTAGATAAGATTTAGGGGAAAATAATAGCATGGGGAGAAATTCACAATCTACTAGAATTAAAATATTAATCTTTGTGGTAGTTAAATCTTAATGATTTAAAGGTTGTCCTTCAAATTAAATTAATACCATGTTTATAGTTTAAGGAAATTTAAACTCATTCACATTCTTTTTGTTTTATATGGAGGGAAGGGAGACATGTAGCTGAGGATAACCTCGAACTTCTGTGCTTCTCCTGCCTCCACCTCCAAACACTGAGGTTGCAGGCATTTGCCACCACTCTTGGTTTATGTGGTGCTGGGAGCTAACTCTGGGCCTTGTGTGTGCCGGGCAAAAACTCCAACCGAGCCACATCCCAGGCCAAGTTTGTTTGCTTTAACATGACTCAATTACACTGTGTCATTGTGTGCAAGCGCTCCATCTCTTGAGGGTGCACAGTCATGAGTGGTGTTTGTGGCTTCACATGCTTGTGCTGTACACATATCACACAATACAGCAATATGGTCCACTCCCCAATTTCCTGGAATGTGGCATTACTAGAGAGTGTATCTTTTTCTTACCTTGAACATTTTTCTTTTAGCTAATGGGAACTGATAATCTCTTCCAGGAAATGATTGGAACATAAATGATTTTAGGCATCAATAAACATGATACTGAACAGATTAACCTCAAGAACATTGTGCTAAGTGAAATGAGCTAGTCCTCCAAAAGACAAATTCTGTATGCTCTGACTGTTTTGAGGCCTCTGGGGTGGTCAAATTCATAGACGCTGTAAGTTGATTGGGGGAGAGGTGCAAAGTTTCAGTTCAGATGGTGCTGTGGTTGCTCACCACTGTGGCTGTGCATGATGTCGCTGAATTGTCCACTAGAAAATCGTTAACAGCAATTTTATATGCATTTTACCACAATAAACACAGATAACTGAAGACACAATGAAAAGGAAGCAGACTATGAAGAAAAAGATATACAGATATCCAAAGCATTTTCTATTGGGAATTAATGCTTTGGCCAGAAGCCCTCATTTGTGACTGAGTAAAAACTTTCAAGGGATTTATTTAACTCTTAAAAACCTCTACAACATATTCTGCCAAGGGGGAAGGCGGTCTTCACACCATAAACATCAGGATCTTGACATTGCCTGACTTAAAGTCCTAAGGAATTTGTACTACAGGATTTCTAATGTGCTAAAATTAAAGTTTGGTTAGTGGCAGAACGTACATTTTATCCCTGGAATCTGGCACCTCTCTCACCATGCCCAGTCTTCTACTGATAACAGCATTAAGTCCATATTGCTTAAATTCTTGGTGAAATTCCGGCTCTAAAAAGCCAATCTTATCTGCAAGAAAAGGTCATTTGAGTCACATAAGTAAAAGCTTACTACTGCCGCCACACTGGTGCAAGTCACAGCGCCGCGCGGTCTTGACTTTTGCTGAACAGTCCTTTCCTCGGGCTCTCAACTACCCCCAGGCGACAGAGTGAAAGGTGAAAGTCCAGAGCATTCGCATAACCAAAGCCGACTTCCCAGTAAAGCGTTGACACTTGGCCCCTACAGTGCTGCAGCAGCCCCTTCTCCCGTTGTCTTAAATACCCGGCAAAAGCCACTCAGCAGTCAGTCACATGGCATCTGCAGTCAGTGAGCAGAGGGCAGTGTGTTCAACTGCTTACTTTTTCCTATGTATGCAGTCCAAGGAATGGTGTCTCACACACACACACACACACACACACACACACACACACACACACACACACTCACAGACTCCATAAATGCCACACAGGGGTGAAACACAAGTAGCCGCAGATAAAACATCCTTAGCAAACTTCCAAGAGGACACACTCATTCTCTGTAACCCAAGAAAGAGCTGGGGGAAAGGGTAGCCTAGTAACAAGAAGAAGAAAAAACACAGAACTTGGAAAAACTTGCGTGGAGACCTTTCACCTCACCCTCACCCTAAGGAAGCAAGCAGCAGGATCCCTCTTGCCCCACCTGGTGGTGTCCGTGGGGCCAAGCAGCGCCGAATCTTCCACTGGTCAGCAGCATGCAGTAGTCTCCGATCCCCCTCCTGGGTGGTGCCCGGAGAATGACGGGAGGAGTTTGGGGCCTCACCGGGTGGAAACTGGAGATGCTGAGTCTCCCTGATGTATTGTCAGGGGATTGTTGAACCTCCAGCCCCCCACCCCCACCCCCGTGACAGCACGATGGGGCAGGGTCGAGCCAGGTGGCTGTCTATTTCCCCTTCTCTCTCATGAGACCCAGCGGGGAGCTAAACAGTGTGAACCAGGATAGTTGATTCGTTGAACCTGGTGGCAGTGAGCACTAGAGGACTAGAGCCTTTTAACTCTGGTGTCCGTGGGGCACAAGGAGGGGAGGAGAGACAGGACTGGCTGACACTGTGCCCAGTGACAAGGGCTCCATTGAAGTGGAAACAAAAGTGACCTCAATTCTTACATCACCTGTCTACCACAAGATGGTGTGCACATAGTGCTGTGGGCAGATGGGGCAGGGAGGGCTTGTGGCACGAAGGTGATAGAACGCTCCTCCTTACCTGTTCCTCCTAATAGAGGACAGGGAGGACCAATAGGAGTATCCTCACGGTCTATACTGAATGGCACACTTACACTCAGTATTGCAGAAGGGAATCAGTGCTGACACACTGTTTATGGTCTGTTTGTTCTGAGGTAACTCTGTGCTAGGCCAGACGCCCCTGGAGGAGTACAAGATTGATACTAGAGCAACTAACTATATCCATTGTTTACTTGAGCCCAGACATCCACGGAATGAGGGAAGAACGAAAGAGGTGACGGTGAGAAACAGGTGTAAAACTAATTTCAAAAGTGTGGCTGGCCACCTTAACCAGAATGGCAAGACTGAGCTCTGAGTGACCGGCGGCCTCTGTCCCTGCCCACCTCCATGATCTGTTCGGTAGAGATGTAATGGAAGACAGACCTTTAGACTACTAATCCTCTCTCTCTCAGATTGCTGGTGCCCGAATAATAAAGTGAAGTATTAAGATTCAGTTTCTGTCTTTGCTCACTGGCTTTTGTGAGTGACAGGCAGACACCACAAACCATTTTTGCTTCTAGTTGCACTACACCTCAGTGAAGGAGACCTGCTTGAAATCATACTAAAGTGTCTCACAATATTTTTAATGTCCAGGATGCAATAGAAAATGTCATACCAAAAGCTGAATGGAATTCAGAAGGACAACTGATAGTTGCTAACACTGAGTGAGCGTCACTGCAGCAGCATCAGAAGCAGACAGAAAAGGGAGAGCTCAGCTAAGGGATGGAAAGGAAATGATAGGAATGGTGATTACAGTAATCTAAGTAGACTCAGGGTAACTCTAGTGGTTAAACCACACAGAGGACAGAGCCTGAGAACTTGAGGTCAGGTCAGGTCAATCGGATTGCTGTGGTGTGAGCAAGAGAGAGATGAACTAGAAAGAAAAAGATTCTCAGGGACCCATGGCATAACTAAAGAGCTAACTCTGTATTACAGGAGCTACAGAAGGAGAAGAGAGAAAGCAGGGGGCAGGGTATAGTGTGAGAGCAGGATAGGGATGCTGCAGAGGGGCCATCCTATGTCTTACTCTTCCATGATGCTGTCAGCAGTGCCCCAGAGCAGTGCAGAGCCCAGGACACAGATCTGACTTGTAAGCCATTTATTATCTCTTTACTGTTCTCTTCACCTTTGGGGGCTTATTTTCTTAAACCAGACCATCACCTGTGTAAACATAAACACAAATCTTACAACAGTGAGTGTTGGGGGAGAGCAAATTCCAAGAGGATATTGACATAGACTATCTCCAGACATGTTAAACTATGCAATGCCAGAACTGCCATACGGCAGCGTGCCGAGGATGTGGAAGACACTGGTGGATTCAGGCAACAGTTGCCTTTGAGGTTGATAGATGGGGAAGGACCAGTGGTGACATTTCTGTTGCACCTGTTGAAATTCATTTCTGTGGAAAACAGAAACCTGCCTGAGGCTAATGTAGAAGATTACATAAAAATGAAAAATTGAGGTGGTACATGCATGTGTATATACCCCGTTGAATTCTGTGTATAATATATCCATAGATGAAATATTGGCCTAAGGAAGGCATTCTTTTACTCTTCCAAATACTAAATCTGTGATATGTTGAAAGTAGTTAACAGAAACAAATCAGTTTCTTCCTGGGTATAATTTTGGTTTTCCAGGTTCATCTGTATCAGACTTACCATTAATAACTTTCTGTTTGGAAGTTTCCTTTGAGTCACGGTTTTGCTGGTACACGTTTTTTCCAAGTGATCTAGCCTTGATAGGTTCCTGGGTTTTCTTCAGTGGTTTATTCTCTTGATTGTAGTGAGAATATGCCATTAACACAGCAGTCCAGAGCCCGAAGGCCATGGATCCACATAATAAACACTGAGCTATGATAGTCTTCATTGTGGAGTGCACATTTTTAAATTCCAATTTTCCTAGACAAGATCATTGTAAGAGATATTAGATTGTATTAGATAACTTAGTGGTGTTTGAATCATCCATGTGACTAAAATACTGTTTTCAGTGTTTTAAAAACAATCATTTTGATACTTTTTGAATATGTAAAGTTTATCTCTTTGCTGTCACAAAAATTCTTCCCACATAGATCCATAGGATCAGCATCCGGATGGGTCAGCATGAAACAGGCAGCATAATTTAAAGTCTTCTTTGCCCTACCACTGAGTGGGGAGGTCAAGGAGAGAAGGGGATAACACAAAAGAGCACTATCCGTCTCTAATGCCTGCCCAGCCCACTTGGAGAGATAGTGTAGCTCTCTAAAACTCTGACCAGACACCAGTCAGACTGAAATGTAAAATCATGCCACGCTGTATGCTGAAGAGAGACGTGAGCGCAGTGGTCCACTGCTGAGAGACCATAAATGGACTGAGTGGTTTGAGTTCTAGATTAATGAACCTACTTTTAAAGAGTAACAACTTGTTTAAAATGTTTTACATTGCTATAGATTTTAGTTTATTGATACAAATTTAAACTTAATTTTGTTATACTATATATATATATATATATTTCTATTCTTGTTTGAGGTATTATGTTTATGTAACTCATTTAAACTTGTAATGGATAATTAAAAAATAGATTAATAATTAGTCATTTATGATAGTCATATTTGTACCCATGTTAGTTAAGTCTTCTAGGTATACATAGATATATTTCAGATAGAGAGGTAGTCTTCAAACACTTCAAAGACTTACAGAATATGGCATTTAAAATGTTTTAAAAATTTAGACTTTCTGGACAGTAAGACATGTCTGCTCCTGACAGCACCGATTTACTTCAGAGAAGAGGATGGGCATCGAAGACACTCCATATGGAGTTTATCTTCACCTTGGCAAAAATAGCCATTTGGGCAAGAAACTGTTCTTTCCTGGACTGCTTGATCAACTGGACATGCAGGACCCATAGAAAGATGACCATTGAACTTTGCTTGACAAAATGGTCCTTCAGGTTCCTGCTTTGCAGAGGAAACTGCCAGACATTCTACAAGACACAGAGAAAAGTGACTGAGAGACTCTAGGCCTGTGGGCTGAACACAGATGCCCCAACTTTACAAAGGAGCATTAGATGACTGTCCAGGCTGCCAGCTGTCTCTGTCTACCCTGCAAGACTCCCGAAAGTTGCTTGCATCCATCTCCCATTTCTCAGGTAGTATTATATCCTTCTGAGGTCTTTGATGTGGTTAAAGACTAGATACTTAAATTTTCCTTAGTTATGATAAAAGATAAGTTAGATATAAAACCTTAAACTCACAAATATAAGATAGATATCTTCTTTAATATTGTAAATATAATTCTTACTTGATAATTATTTTGTTATATGTAATTTTACTATGTTGAAGTTAAAACCTTCCTTTTTGAAAAAGAAAAAAAAAGGGGAAGTGCTGTGGATTTTGCTCTATATAAATAAAGCACTGATTGGCCAGTGACGAGGCAGGAAGTATAGGCGGGACAAGGAGAGAGGAGAATTGAGGAAGGAGGGAGGAAAGAGGGACCACCTGGAGCCGCTGCCAGGACAAGGAAGATGTAAAGTACCAGTAAGCCACAAGCCACGTGGCAAAGTAAAGATTAATAGAAATGGGCTGAATATAAGAGTGAGAGCTAGACAATGATAGGCCTGAGCTAATGGCCAAGCAGTTTAAATAATTTAAGCGTCTGTGTGTTTATTTTATAAGTGGGCTTCAGGACTGGCAGGACTTGGCGGTGAGCTGGAGAGAAATTCTCCAGCAACACTGAGTGGTTTGAGTTCTAACCAGTGATGGATGGATATGAACGCCTATCCTGAATGTCTCCGTAGTGACATTGACATTCCCAGTCAGATACAACTAAAGCTTTTCTCAGCAGAATTGCTAAAATGAGGCTGTCCTTCCAGTGGTGAAATCAATCAGCTAGAACTGTCAGCAGCAGATTTTAAACCCACAGTGAGGAGCAGGAAACGACCCTGAAACTCACTGGCCAGCTAGCCTGGACACATTACTGAACTTCAGGTTCAGTGAGAGGCCCTGTTTCAAAGGATAAATAAGGAAAGTATCAGGGAACGATACTCAGCGTTGACCTTAGGCCTCAATACACATGAGTACTCACATGAGAGAGAGAGAGAGAGAGAGAGAGAGAGAGAGAGAGAGAGAGAGAGAGAAGCAGGGCATAGTGTGTTTTACAGACCATTATGAGTAGTGTTCCTGCTTATGGTCACTCGTATGCAGTAGATGCTTGGGGAAACCTGTGAGCAGATGATGTACACAGTATCCAGGAGCTCCAGCCTGCCAAGAGGAAAATGCAGAACGTGCTGCATTCTTAGTGCTGGCTTCTGGGAAGCTCTGCAGCACATGTGGCAGACTCAGATCAGCAGAACCTGGTGATGAACTTGGAGCACTTATGATACTACTGTATATTAAGAGTTTTCTTTCAATGGCAGTGGTCTCCCATGCATGTGTCTGTATCTTCTTCTTGACTCAACTGAATAAAAACAAAGCTAAACACTCTTGTTATTGTAGGTTGGGGCCATAAATACAAGTAAGGTTTTTTTTTTATTTTTGTTTTGTTTTAGACAGGGTCTCATGTAGTTCAGGTTGACCTCAAACTCACTTTGTAGCCAAGGATGACCTTGAGCTTTTGATTCTCCTGAGTGCTGAGATTACAGGAATGGGTTACCATGCCTGGTTTTATATGGTACTGGGGACCAAACCCAGGGGTTTGTGTATGCTAGAAAAAGTCTACCAACTGAACCACATCCAGAGCCAAGGCAGATGAGATTTTAACAGCACCTTCAAGACAAGGTTATTGGCCGCGTGCTCACATTTTGGAAGGAGACAGGAGATCACAGCCTGAGTTGGAAGTGCAAGGGCTGCGAAACAGAAACAGGTTGAGCTGCTGCTTGAGCAGCTCGGTAGGAGTGAGCAGGGCCTTGGCACGTCCACACACGTGTGATCAGAAGGGGGCGCTCTTCACCCCAGTGCACAGCAAAGTCCAGCCAGGATCAATGATCTACAGAGGCACGGGCCACGGGAGAACTGCTCTAAAAGGAGATGGGCCCTGGGGAGACTAATTTGCTGAGGCTCTGGGTCAGTGGTTCTCAGCCTTCCGTAACACTTAACACATAACACACCACTGTAATTGAAGTACAGTTCATGAATTGTAATGTGTGCAGGACATCTGACATGCAACCCCCAAAGGGGTTGTGACCCATAGGTTGAAAACCACTGTTGTAGAGCTTTCCACAAATGCTAGTTCCTCTGCAGATACCTGCTCCAATACTCAGACTGTCCAATAGCTTTTTTGTCCTGCTTTTCAATTGGAATGGAATGCTGATATGGACTGAACCACAACTCTCCAAAATTATGCCAAATCATTAACCACAATGTGACCATTTTTGTGAAAGAGGTCATTTTTTTAATCTTTTAATTTTAACCTCCTTTAGGGAAGTGATGAAGATGAAATGAGCTCATAGGATGGGTCCTGATCCTGTAGGACTGGTGACCTTAGAAGATAGCCAGGAAACATGTACAGAGAAAAGGACATGTGGGGGTTGGTCAAGAAGGGGGCCATTTGTGAGTCAAGAAGAGAGGCTTTACGTGGAGTCCACCCTGCCAGTGCCTTGACCTTGTACTTCTAGCTGTGAGAAAATAAATTCCTAGTGTTAGCCAGACACTCTGTGATGTTTTGTTCTGCTTGCCCATGTGACTAACGCATATGCCAAGGATTGACCAAGGCATTTGAGGAAAACCTTCAGAAAGGGGAAAAATGTGTGGAGAGCCACAAAAGAGGAACAACCCAAAACTTGCAGAATACTGAAACTGAGAAATCAAGGAAAGCACACTCAAAGAATTAGAAAAAGGACAACAGAGAAGAAAAAGGGACAGTTGAAATTTAAATTGTACCTGTCACAGTTAGCAAAATCAGCAGAAGATTGAAAAATAGAAGGGGATTTTCTGGAAAGTACAGCAGAATGACAGAGTAAGGGACAATCTCAGGCCGGACATGCTTTTTTTTTTTTTTTAAGGTTTATTTATTTATTATGTATACAGTGTTCTGTCTGCATGTGTCCCTGCAGGCCAGAAGAGGGCACCAGATCTCATTACAGATGGTTATGAGCTGCCATGTGGTTGCTGAGAATTGAACTTAGGGCCTCTGAAAGAGCAGTCAGTGCTCTTAACCTCTGAGCCATCTCTCCAGCGCTGAGATTAGACATTCTTACAGCAGCATCTAACTAGCAAGGAATTCCAGAAAGCTGTGGAAGAAGTGGAGGGGAGGAGATGATCATATCAACAAAGAACACAGAGTGGCCAGTGCAGCAGATGGGAATGTCCCAGGAGAGCTGACCTTCACGGAGGACGACAGCAAACTTCTCAGTGGCAACACTACATTCAGAAAGAGTCTAGAGAATGCCTACAAATTCATAATTAGATAATATCAATCCAAGATTTTACAACTAGTCAAAACCTAATCAAGAGCAGAATAAACATGTTTGCAGATAGCAAATAACTCAGAAAAACACTTTTCATGTTCTTTTCTTCTTCCTCCTCTTCCTTCAGTGGGGATACATGTGAATTATAAATGCCAACAAGGAAAAAGCAAAAGGAGAACACAAACATGCACACACACACACACACACACACACACACACACACACGTATAGACATCACAGAATCATAAAGCTTTAAAATGTAAGACAGGCTGAAGAGCTAGCTCAGTGTGCAGAGCACTAGCTGTTCAAGCATGAGGCCTGAGTTTGAATCCTCAGAACCCATGTAAAGGTAGACACTGTAGTGCACACATGTAATCTCAGTGCATCTGTGAAAAGAAGGGAGACAGAAACGGGGGAACTCCAGGAAGCTCAGCTAGGCCAGCATATGCAGTGGTGGACACAAAAAGACTACCAAACAAGGTGGAAGGCAAGGACTAACACCTCACATTGTCTTCTGGCCTTCATACGCCTGCCATGGCATGTGCGCCTGAATTCATAAACGCACACGCGCACGCGCGCGCACACACACACACACACACACACACACACACACACACACACACACACACAGGGCTAGGGAGATGGCCTAACAGGTAAAGTGCACGCTTTGTGAGCATGAAGCCTCAGGCTCAGTCCCTAGCACCCGTACAAAACCCAGGTGCATCAGGACTGGAGCTCTGGCTCGTTAGGAGCACTGGCTGCTCTTGCTGAGGACCTGGATTTGGTTCCCAGTACCCACACTGCGACTCACAGTCATCTGTAATTTCAGTGCAAGGGGGATCTGACGCCCTCTTCTGGCCTCTTAGGGCACTAGGCATCATTAATATGCATACATTCAGGTAAAACAATCACACACATAAAATAAATCTTAAAGGAAAGAAAGAAAGGAAAAGGCTGGGTGCAGCAGCATGCACTTGCCATACCAATACCAGAGCTGGAGAGAGAAAGGCAGTCTAGCCAGTCAGTGAGCTGCAGGCTCCGTGAGCCTTGTCCCAAGAAACAAGGTAGCTAGCTGTCCACGCTCCTTTGAAGAATCTTCCACTCGTGCTCATCCAAGCAGCATAATTAAACTCAGTGGGTGACACACACACAATAGATTTGCGAGGAGGACAGAAACATGTTACAAAGAAGAGGGTTTCAACAGGAGGGGAGGGAGGGTGGAAGAGGGTACTGGAAGGGACAATAACTAAAATCCATCATGTACATACAGGAAGCCGTCAAAGAATTAATGTGTGTGTGTATGTGTGTATTGTGTGCATGTATGTGTGTGTAGTGAAACTTTCCCCAACCAACGATTATAAAATGATAATATCCATCCCAGACCTTATCAGCATACCTTGTTTTTTCATTTTTTATTTATTTGGTTTGCTTTGGTTTTTCCAGATAGGGTTTCTTTGTGTAGCCTTGGCTTTCCTGGAACTCACTCTGTAGACCAGGCTGGTCTCAAACTCACAGGGATCCACCTGTCTCTGCCTTCAGGTGCTGGAATTAAAGACGCAAGCCCCCACTGCCCAGCTATCAGCGTGCTTTATTAAAGGGGCCTTGCCAGGGCCCCCTTCCCTGTAATAGTTACTCTGGTCAACTCTACAGGATCCAGGGTCACTGGAGAGAGAAGCCTCTCAGTGTTGTCGTGAGGGATTATCTAGATTAGCTTCACTGAGGTGGGAACATCACCCTAGATATAGGGACACCGTTCCATGGCCCGGGGCCCAGGTGAACGAGAGAGGAAAAGCCTGAGCACAGGAGTTCATTCTACTTCTTGGCTGCAAACGCCAGGGGCCCAGGCACCTCCCTCTCGGCCGCTGTGCTGTCCTGCCTTTGCTGTCAGGAAGGATTCTCGCCCTCAAATGGTAAGCTAAAATAAACCCTAGCTCCCTTCAAAACAAATGCAAGAAAAATTAAAAATACGATGAAGTCATTGGAAAGACATCGATGTAAAGATACATGTGGGCACACATCCCCTCCCCACATAAATGTGAGATTTTAGAATCAGGAGAGCATGACCTTGCTTTTGATTGATGCCATGACTATTTTTTTCTGAAAATAATAATAATACTTTATAATGCTTTATCTTCCTGATGCTGCTCTATAGACAGAACATATAACCTCACACTTTAAAGGCTTTCCCCTTCATTAATTTTTTAAAATAAATGTTAAGAGCACACACAAGTGTATCACAGATTCTCTTTGTTGGGAGCTGGAGCCTACACAGTATCTTTCTTCCAGAAGTGAGGCATAGCCAGACTAGACTAGTGACCACCTTCTCCGTGGTAATCAGCTCACTTCAGTACTGCTCCCTAGAATCTGTGATAACCCAGGTCCAGTAGATCAGTGCTCTCGTTGATCTAGGTGCCTGGACTTCCTGAGTACCTTTGTTCCCTCATCCCTTTGTTCCCTTGTCTCCTTACTTGTCAATGGGGTTACCACTCTGGCAGCTTCAAAAGCAAGTCATTTGCCAAGCAGAGTCATAAGTGAAATCAGGTCTGTGAATGATGAAAAGATGTACTTTGTCTAGATGGTGCTGGATCGTGCTGGGCTACTTGCAGTAGCAGAGTGTTTAACACGCCACCACAGGCTGCCCCTCAGAACCCAGTGACATCACACAGGGCATTGTTGGCTCCCAGAGGCCCCTGTCAGGAAGCCTAGCAAGCAGTTGGAACCCAGGAAGCTGGAGTCCAAAGGGCCTAGCATAACTACTGGCTGAATGTCCTCGCCTCAGCTGAGGAGACAGAAAGGCTCGTGAGAGTCAAGGTCAACGCCAAGGGGATAGAGGCTTGGCCTCTTGTTAGCTCTTGTGAAAGAAGAGTAAAATACCAGCTGTCCTTCAGAATACCTCAAGAAACTGAAATAGGAGATCAGGGGCCAACTGAATGCCTTTAGTTTTGACTCTCTGTTGCTCAACATTTAGCTGGCAGTACACAAGGTCAGCCAGACTTGTGAAATTCCTTCTTCAGGACTCTGAGTGGATCAGACCCCTCCCCCTGGAGGCTGACTTGGTGGTTGGATTGGAAGCACACACCTGTGTCAGCTCACTAGCAGAAGGGTGTGCTGGGCCTTTTTAGAAACTTCTCTGGAGCATGCATGAAGACCCTGATGACCCCCAGCATAAATCTGGATGCTTGTTTGCACAGGCTGGATGGGAAGGTGCTTCTCTGTCATTTAGCAGTGACATTAATGTGAAAAATAATTTGAATGAGCTGGGGAACGGCTCATTTGGGAAATTGCCTGCCTCACAAACATGAGGATCTGAGTTTGAAACCCTAGCATGCAAGTAAAAACCAGTCATGGCAGTGCATGCCTGTGACCCTAGCACAGGAGAGGCAGAGGCAGGAGAATTCTGGGGACTTGCTACCCAGACAATCTAGCTAAATTAGTAAGCTCCAGGTTCAGTGACAGACCTTGCCTCAATAAAAAAAAAAAAAAAAAAAGTGGAGAACAGTGAAGACACCGTATACCAACCTTCATATACACATACATGCACACATGTGCATCCATACCCGACTGTACACATATATCCTTAAAATACATGTGTGTGTGCACACACACATTTAGGGGTTAGAGATGTAACTCAATAGTAGAGAGTTTTCCTACCATGCAAGGCCCTGAATTTGATCCATAGCTATGAAAAAAAAAGGCATTTTTATTCTCAGTATCCCTAAACTGGGAAATATGCAAAAGCCCACCATGAGTGGAAAGGATAGGGGCCTGTGGATACAGTTCAGTTGACAGAGTGCCACTCTAACAAGCATGAAGCCCTTGGTTCTATCCCAAGCATCACAGAAATCAGGCATAATGGCACATAATGGCACATAACAGGCTCATAATCCCAGCAGAGGTGTGAGCAGGAGGACCAGAAATTCAAGATCATTTTTGATTACATAGAAGATTGAGAAACCCTGTCACAAAAGGAAGAAAATGAGTGGAATGGATAGTTGTACTATTCTTATGCATTGGACTATGAAACAGCAGTGGAAATAGACAAGCTCGGGGTGTGTATGATAGCAGGAATGCACCTCAGACACAGTATCATACCAAGACTCAGGATGCATGATGCTGTTGCCATGACATTGAAGAAGGTACCAAACTGAACTATAGTGAGAGCAGTCAGAGAAATGGTTACCTCTCGGGTGAGGGTGCCATAGCTGTGTGGCAAAGAATGGGCTGTTTGGTACTACTCTTGACTTGGTGAAGGCATCATGATACTCATGGACTGCTCAAGGTTTTCACACTTCAAATATTCTCAAAGAATTAATGGGGAAAAGTCCGTTTTCACACTTCAAATATTCTCAAAGAATTAATGGGGAAAAGTCCACCCAGCTTTTGGTTTGGGTTAATAAGTAAAGTCTTTCTGAGAAAAAGGCAAGGCACCAGAGTAGTTCAAGGACAAGAGATAGGACTTGTGTTGGGAGATAACTCACATAGCACAAAACTCACCCTCAGAAGCAGAGCAGTAGATTTCAGAATATTCACAAAAGTCATACGAACATGGCTAACTTCGCAGTATTTTCATGAGTTCAGAAAGAGGCTCTATAAGAAGTAGCAGTCTTGGGCCAGAGAGATGTCTCAGCTGGTAAAGGGCCTCCCCTGCAAGCACCAAGAACCGCACTCAGACCCTCTGAACCCGCTTTCAAAGCTGCACCTCTGGCGGCCACTAACTGCCAGCGGCTGCCCCACTTTCTGGCTGTGGGGATTTGCCTTCGCTGGGTAATGAATCGTACAGTATATAGCAGTTTTTGTGTGGCTGCTTTCACTTAATGTCTTTTTAAAAATGGTATCTGTCTGTTTATTCACATATGCCATAATGTTCTCCAGAAGTCAGTTCTCTTCTTCCACCACGTGGGTCCTGGGGGTTGGTGTCAGGCTGTCGGGCTTGGTGACAATTACAGTCAGGTTTACCCGCTGATCATCTCACTGGCTCATCATCACGTTTTCAAGGTTAGTCCACATTGAAGCATGAATCAGCACCTCGTTCCCTTTTATGACTGAGTAACTCTTGTATACAAATACTACAATGTAGTCATCAGTTTTTCAGTTGGGAAGAATTTATGTCACTTGTGTTTGGGCCTTAATAAATAAAGCTGCTATGAATATTCATGCATACATTTTTTGGTGAACATGTGGTTTCAACTCTTTTAAATATATGCCTGTGAGTAGAATTGCATGTAGTAATGCTGTTTAATTTTTTGAGAGGGAACTAATTTATTAGCAGTCCTTCCCTAAACTGGCCTACAGATTTCAGATTTGCTTCACCAGTCCCTACCACTGCATGCACGGCTGATTCCTGTCAGTATATTTCTTAATACATATCTCTATTTGGTCTTGTAGTTCTCAGAAGCACACATGTATATACCTGTGTAAATTACTTTTAAAATATAGAGCCCAGAAAGTTCCCACGTGCCCCTTTTTGTCAATCTTTGGAGTTCAGAGTTTCTTCGTGAACTGTTATTTTGTCGATTGTGGCATACCCGAATAGCAGCATGAGACATGCCATGTTTTGTGGGGACTTCCTTCCCTTCAGCATTTGCCTGAGCTTTACTTTTGTTTGTATAACAGCCAGTTGTTTTGTGGTGGATGCCCTGCTAAGGCTGCCACCGTAAGACACAACGTGAGACTGATCGATCTGTTAACTTCCAGTGCCAGAAATCCAAGACCAAGCTGTCACCAGAGCTGATTCACCTGAGATCTGTCTCCATCCGTCCCTAAAAAGGAACTTGCCTTCAGCAGATATTTTCTTATTGTTCTCCCCCCGCCCCCCTCTTATGAAGAAGATAACTGAAAAAATGAACTTGTTCTGTTTGTCTTCGCTGCTGCTCTCTTCAGCCCCTCCCTCCTGTACACCGACCTCCTCCACTCAGCCCCCGGGAACACTTACTCTGTGTCTGTGGGATAAAGTGTCGGCCAAGTCTAATACAAAATAAGTCCAATTATGTAGTAAATCTTTCCCACAGAGGCGGACAGCTGTTATCTCAGGAGTGGGTGTGGTAGTGCACACCTAGTTTTCCAGCATGCAGGAGGTAGAGTCATGAGGATTAAAAGCTCAGAGTTACACTTGACTAACTGCATAGTGTGTTTGAGGTCAGCATAAGCTACATTGGACCCTGTTTCAAAGTGTGTGTGGGGGGCATCATTCAGGAATGGTGGTGCACACCTTTAATCTCAGCTCTCAGGAGATAGGCAATGTGGCTCTCCGTGAGTTTGAAGCCAATCTGGTTAAATTGTGAGACCCTGTCTCAACAACAACAAAAATGTGTGTGTGTGTGTGTGTGTGTGTGTGTGTGTGTGTGTGTGTGTGTGTGTACCTATGCTTTGGGGGGCAGTACTGGAGAGATGGTTCATCCGTT